TTCGCCTGCGCACAGGTGAACGCCTGTGCACAGGAGGATGTTCAAGTTCCGCACCGGCGGAGGATCCGCCGAGGCTCCTGCCTGCGCACAGGCAGGAGTTGAATTTTTGTCCGACATGCGGACACACGCGTCAAGGCAGAAGGAGATTGGCCGAGGGGCGGTACGAACAAGTGTACCGCGCAAGGCGGAAAACTCGCCTTCGGCGCTACGCCCCCATGTCCGGAGGGTGACACGCTCGCGGAGTTCAAATCCGCCAATTCGAGCGTGAGAGTTTAATCGACGACGGCGGAGCGTGAAGCCGCGCGTGAGAGCGAAGACCGTTCCAGCGTACAGCCGGCGCGACCATCAAGTGAGACGTTCTTCACGACCAAGAGCCGACCATGACCTTCGACCAGGCGGCGGAGAACGTCCCATTCTTGAATTCGCGATTCCAATCTCTTGTGCGCGCTGCGCGCATCCATCTGCTGGCTGCAGACCATTCTCGACGCCGTGACACAGGAGATTTCTTGTTGATTGAGGGAGAAGTGAGTGCGCGTGATTTGGAATTGAGAGCGATTAGAGTTTGCCGAGAGAGAAAGAAACGCGGACAGTGCGGAAGTAGAATGAGCGGACGAGCGAACCCCAGGAACGCAATGACGAGACCGAGCAGATTGCGGATGGTGCCACTTCGCCTGCCGCAGAACGGGCTGCGCGCTTTCGAAGAACGCTTAATAGCAAGAAAGCTCGATTTCTTGCTATGGGGATGGAATTACATCTGCGCGAATATGGTGCGCGAGTGGCTAGAGCCACAGGGACCACCCTCGCGCGGATTGCGTCCGCATGTTGACCGGTGGACAGTCCAAGATTGGGCGCAGGCGTTGGGAAGATGTGCTGGCATGCCAGGGCATCTCCTTTTCGACAGCGAGAGCATCAAGGTGACCAAGCAAGAAGAGGCGCAATTTGTGGAGCTGTTCAAGACCGGGAGGTCTACCAAGAATGGGTACAGGACCCGTGATTATAAAGATCGATTTCGCCGGACCTTGTCCGCGGCGCTGATGCAATTACTGCAGCCGCACCGCGCCTGCTACATCACATTGTGGCAGGTCTCTTTTGTGGAGTGCGTCATCGAGGGAACTCCAATTCATTGGGCGAGCATCCTGCACAGGGTGATGCGACAGCACGCGTTTGAGGAGAAGGGGGGAACTCTAAACCATCTTTCTCCTTTCCTCATCAATTTTTATCGACAGCGGAATTGTTTAACAGCGGCGGAGCTTGAACATTTTCCGCCATTGTCCATCGACCATCCCGGGAAGTATGTGCGGGAGAACGAGGTCGACACTGATGCGGAGGAGTCACCGACTTCTACCCCATCAAGACGGAGGGATGAAGGGAGACACACTCCTGCAGCGCGAGTGCCGCGGAAGCGGCGATGGAGGGAAGAGTCCGAAGAGGAGCAGCATCAAGAACTCTCTGCTCCCATTCGACCGCGGCCGCTGTGCGAGCCATACAGCCGGCCGAAACAGAAGGCACGCAGACTGGTGTTGCCAGCTGACAGTGCAGACACGGCGACGATTGCGACGGAGATAGGAAGTGCGTCGCCAGAGAGGCGAGAGGAAGCGCGGACGACCGCAGGAGCAGCGGGCCACGCTGCAACCTCGTCGGGAGAGAGGCCGCCTACGGGCCAGGGGCCTCCGGAGTTACCACGTGCGATGCGGACAGATGTTCCGTTTGCGCACAGGCGAACCTCCGCGGACGGACGAGCCTCCGCGGATCGGCGAACACAAGTGGACGTGGATCTACGCTTACGCGTGGGAAGGAGCAGTCCGCCTGTGCACAGGCGCTCGCCTGTGCACAGGTCGCCTGTGCACAGGTCGCCTGTGCACAGGACACCTCCGCACGTGCCGCCTGTGCACAGGCAAGAATCACCCCCGTTCCAACGCAGGAAGGGGAAGGAGCCGGCGGAAGAACCGCCTACGAGACACCGGCCCTCGGGGCCAGACCCTCCGGCGCACCACGCGCCGCAATTTGCGCCTTCGGCGCCAGGGCCTTCGAGCCGAGGGGATACGAGCAGAGAGCGTGCCGAGGCCGCACCATCGGCGGGAAGTCCGCCGATAGATGCGCCTTCGGCGGTAGGGCCTATAGGCCAAGGAACATCGGGCGTGCGGCCCCCGGCCATGTCGCCTTCGGCGATAGATGTCCGCGGCGCTACGCCTGCGACGGACAAGGCGCCGGCAAATGCGCCTGCGCACGGGCCGGGCACAGCCCCCACGGACCGATCGAGGGAGCAGCAGACGGAGGAGCGGAGTGACTGTCCGCGGGAGGAAATCTCGATACGCGATGCGCAATCCAACCCCGCGCAGCCACCTTCCGCTCAATCGCCCTCGGCGACGGACGACGGCGACAGAGAGAATGCGGTGGGCAATCAACCAGCGAGAGACGGGGATGCCGCTCGGATACATTCGCCTTCCGCCTTAGACATTTTGGCGACGAGCAGCGAGGCTGCAGCCGTGCCTTCGCAGGCAGCACACGTCGAGGACGTGCAGCCCCACTCGGGGCAGTCGCCGACGCAATCAATGGCGACTGAAATTCTCCACTCGGATGATGACGACGGGGGCTCCACGGAAGAAATGTCAGGAGCAGAAGACACCGAGGAGGAGGAGGAGGAAATTGTTGGAGCGCCGGCGGCGGCGCTCTCTGGGCAGGTGATTCCGTTGCTGCGGTACTTGGATCGCAAGGTCGATAAATACGCCGACCCACTCCAGCCGGGATCTTACATCGAGTTAGTGCGCAGAAGGACTCGCACTAAAGTCCACACCAGCAAGCTATTAGCTAGAGTGGACCAGGAGTTGAGGGACTTGAAGGAGAAGCATGAGTGCTTGTGGGGACAGTACAAGCTTAATCAGAAGTTCTACAAGCACTCCGAGAAGATGAAGGATGAGAAACTGGGCGAGCTCACCAAGGAGCAGGTGAAGGTCAAGGAAGCACTCGATTCTGAGCAGGTCCAGAATCGGATTTTGTCAGAGGAGCTCGTGCGACAGACGCGGTTGTTGGAGCAATGTCAGCTCGCACGGCAGGCGGATGAAGAATTAATCCGCAGTTTGCAGTCAGAGTGTGGCGAATTGAGAGCGCAACGTGCTGAAGCCGAATCGCAATTAGTGACGATTGAAGAGGATCGCAGGAAGGAGGCGGATCGCACGAAGGTGGAGACGGCGAGGCGAGTCGCCCACTGTCTCAAGGGCTACGCCCACTGGGAAGTGAAGGCGCAGGAGAAACTCACACTGCGTGAGTTTGAATTGCGCGCAGCCGGGTTGTTGTCAGGCGACAGTAGGAGTCGGCGGAAGGTAGCGAAGAAGCTCGAGGCCTTTCTGTCGAAGGCACAGGATACCATGTCCGCCCTCGAGGGGGAGGTATCCGCGGCGTTGCAGCGGTTGGGACTGCGTAGTCGAGCGGAAGAGTGGCAGGGTAGGGAGTTAGTGCGCGGCAGTCGGCCGCGCAGGAGACGTAGTACAGGTTCCGCGGAGTGTAGTGTAGCGTGGTTCCGTGCAGGCGTGTAGCGTAGTGCAGTGTAGTGCTAGTTAGGACTTAGAAGGTATAAAATAGTTCCAGGCGTTTTGCCTGGGGTTCTTTCCCATCAGAAGTGCAGATCAGGAACCCATTTCCTTTGCGTGTTTGTGTCCTTGAGTTCTGTCACCACGCACGAGGAGTTACAACTTAGCGTTCCGCATCTTGTAGCTGAAGGCCTTCGGCCGAATGTTCAGAGCTAGTACATTGGTTAGAGACTTGAGTAGTTCGGAACTGCACCTGCGGGTGACTGCCGATGCTCAGAGCCAGTGACTAGTTAGATACTTGAACAGTTTCGCCCCTACACCTTCGAGTGTTTCTTTCTGATTGTACTCCTTGGGATTTTTCCCCTGAATGCCAAAGTGAAGTTTTGCTACTTCGTGTAAGCCTTGGTTGTAAATTCAGGTTACGCTGCAGCAGGTGCCTTGAGGGTAACCCCTGTAGTATTTCTGGGAATGACAAGTGCCTGAGAATTCAAACTCTTCAATAGACTGTTGTTGTGTTACTGGAATGTTTCACAGTGAGTCCTTCAGTGTGGACCTGTGTTCTCTGCGCGTTTTGTGAGTTGAGAGTGTTGTTCACCGCGTATGAGTGACTTCGATCCGAAGTAGGCAGACCAAACCGGGTTTCCTACACTAGCAGCAAGCTAGTGGAAGTGTTGTAAAAGCCGGAGTTGGAAGTCACTACCCGCAGCTTCGCCGAGTGTGCTCGCGAGAGACTTTCCCCCCTGAAATCTTGAGTAGAGGTCCTAACGGATCTCTGGGTTGTGTTTCTGTAGTTTCAGGTGTGTGTGTGTGTGTGTTACGCTGCACTGTGCGACCTCCGAGTGCGCTCCGAGTGGACACTTGGAGTATTTCTGGGAGTGACAGTTGCCTGAGAATTCAAACTCCTCAATAGTCTGTTAAAACGTGACACTTTGTACCCTGTGTGTTCCTCTGTCCCTGTGGGTTCGACCTTTCTACCACTATATTGCAGTTTTAGCCTTTAGTGGGTTATTACATGTTTGCTTATATCTATCATTACATACGTCTAAACATGCCGAGCAAAGACTATCGTAATTAAATCTCGAACAGTCACCTATGCAAGACTCGAATCATTTGTATGGTTATATTGTGTCAAGGTGCAGATAGAGAGCTTCAACTCCGAGTTTACTCACACAAAATAATCCTCATCTCTGACATCTATACGATTCTATATCACTTTTCTTTCTCTGCCAGTGATGTTTAACAACCTGATACCCATTGAATGTTTCTATACACGAAGCAGCTTTGAATAATCACATGCAAGTACACCAGCTACACAGGATGCAGTCGTCATGGATGGACTCATAAGCCGGTAATAGACCAAATTCGAAACAATCGAGAGCATAGTATTAGCTTCTGGTAACCATTCAAACACAAAAAGCTGCATGACCATTAGAGCATAGTATTAGCTTCTGGTAACCATTCAAACACAAAAAGCTGCATGACCATTAGAGCATAGTATTAGCTTCTGGTAACCTTTCAAACACAAAAAGCTGCATGACCATTGTTGGCCAAGCTCTTCACAGTCAAATGGCCCCTAGAAAAAAACTAATCAGAGCGATCAGCAAGCCACAACATTATTCCCAAACGGACTAAGGTACGCCTTAGCAACTTGGATGTGCCCAGAGTTGCAGTCCCTGAATTCTGGACATCACTCCGTGGCCAAAGTCTGAACTGTGGAATCCTCAATCTCACAGATAGCGTTGCTTATCTGATTACTGTAATTGTTCTGGTTATCATAGTAGACGCTCCATAGCATCACACCACCGTAGCGAGGGTCGACCTGAATCTGGGGCAGGACATTATTCAGCAGATCTTCAGGTGGCACATATCCGGAACCAGCGGCCCCCACTGCTGCTGGAAGACCAAGGAATATCTTTGCGTTACTGAGAGCGCTGTCACTGGTCCATTGCTTCCACACATCTAACATTGTAGGTAAATCTCGATAGTCGCAGTAGTTGTTGTAGAACTGCACGAAGACGTAGTCGACTAGCCCGGTTCCCAGAGCCGTCTTTTCTCCATTGGGTCCCAAGTAGTTGTCTGGCTTGGGACACTGAGGAGCAGCGGTTATGTAAACCTTTTTACCATAGTTGTTCTCTTCCGAGACTGCAAGGAGCTTTCGAATCAGATCCGGATAGTAACTGGATCCTCCAGACTCTATGTCGAGATCGATTCCATCCAACGCGACCTTTCCAAATGGGCTACTGCTGGAGCTGCCACCGAAGAAATTGTTCCACAGATAATCCGCAGTGTATTCAGCTTCTGCTAGGGTATTGAATCCATAATAAGCATCGCCACTTCCTCCAAGCGAAAGCAGCACTTTCACGTTCTGAAAAAGACACAACGCACTGTCAGATGAAAAAGATTCCGTCGGAGTCAGAGATGGTAAAACGGTAGTGCCCACGACCACTGAGAGTTATTTCTGACCATTCTATGCAAAATTTGTCGTCAGAAGTCATTTCACTGCTTAGCGTATCTGACCGGTCAAGACAATTGAGTTCGTTATCCTTTGAATTTGAACTCTACAAAAAAATTCAGGACCATGAATGTCATCAGAATGTTGCGCCAACATCAGTTGAACTATGAATTTTGTCAATCCATCGTCGGATGTCAGTCATTGACATGCTAAATCGTTGACATTATTGAGTGCTTTTTTACTCACCAGTCTCTGGCATTCAGCAACTTCACTCTCCAACTGCTTGCAGCCACTGCCGTCAATATCGGGACAGTGGCCTGCAAGGTTCAATCTGTGGTCGCCGTTGTAGCCAAAATGAGTCAAGAAGGAAATCAGGACGATGCCATAGCGGCCAGATGAACATGCTTCTCGAAGAGTTCCCTCGTTACCATTCTGACCCCAGTAAGCTGCAGTAGAGCATTTCGCTCCAGGCGGAAGTGGTGGTGCAGGAGGAGGTGGTGGTGCCGAGGGTGGCACGGGTGTGGAACAGTGGCAATTATCTTGACATCCTGCACAGCAATAAGTGTCTTCACTTCCACAATAGCCGTACTCGCTGCAGCACAAATTGTTAGGACATGGGTCTGCTGCTGAACAGGTTCCGTCAGGTCCCGAGAACGCATTACGAGCCAGAACAGATGGCAGTACAAGGACTACGAGGAAGGCAATCCACGTCCATCTCTTCATTTCTTCCATGTTACTTCTTCGATGCGCGAGAGCGCACTCTGAGGTTCACTGGAGTCTGATGAAAACGCCCGCCCTCGTCCTAGAGTGTCCTCTAAGGTGCACAGGTGGGAATGTTGAACTGACACTGGTGAACGAGATTTTATAGTTGTGGATTCTAATTTCGATCTGAATTGACTAGTCTTTGCTTCCGGCACTTGAGTAAGGATATAGATAATGAAACGACTAGGCTAAATTCATGGACCTGTAGACATTAGTCGAAAAAACTTACAGGACAGTGACTGGTAAATTATTTTGTGAGTCTACTGTGGTACCCCTACTAGATCCAGAATCAAACCGGAGGAAAGGATATGGGGAGGGATTACTCCCTGTTGTTTTTTCAGAATTCACTATACACATTTCGGACTTGTAATTCCTCTCAAAATTTACAAGAATTCCACACCGTCATCCATATTTATACATTGTAAAGAAATACAGTTTATAATGGAAACTGGATTAGGACTTAATTTACGTTAAAATCCAGTACTGAAGCACAACAAGTCCAAAGGATGCTTTTGTAAAATCAAGTCATTTGCCCATGGAGTTTGAATGACAAATCTACAACGTACGATGATACATTGAATAGACCAGTTGATGTACGGATTTACTTCAGATTGTCAGTTTGTAGATGCTAATATAGTGTACTCATGAAAATCATAGTCTCAATTCTAAATCATGACTATTATAGAAAAAAATGCAGCATTTCACTTAAAAATCTGGCTCAAATTATTCTCAGAATTCCAAGAAGAAACTACTAATCTTAACATAGAATCATGTTTTGACAACAATTTCTGCTACAATTCTATAACCGTTTCTCAAATATTTAAATATTCTCGTTAACTTTGATTTCAGGTCTTCATCACATAAAGTCGGTGGGTTTTCATGCAATAAATGCATCAAATCCATAAGTTTCCAGTTTGTAATGCATCACGAAGTCATGAATCGAATTTAACTCTGGATAAATTTTTGTTGTTTATGTTATCTTTAATGTTAGATGTTAAAATCTTTCATCAATGCAAGAAGTTCTACTATTTCGATGCTGATTCAATATTTGCACGTGGTGAGCTGTACTGCAAACTTAATTATATAGGAGGCTGCTTTTTGATAGAGACAACACTTTGACACAAAAATCATGTCATTGGGAGCCTTTGTCTTGAGTACAATAGTGACAGAATGTGCAACCCTCATAAATAAATAAATGAAGAAAAAGAATATTATATATATATATATAATATTTTTATAGTTCATCTCAGTTGAAAGTACCTCAACCATCTTAAATATATAAGGCTTTAGAAAAAGTGAAGAAGGAACAAACACCCACTTCGATCATGAATGAATATCTTTTGAATAACCGAGACCTTTAAAATCAGCAGAATTTCACAGCCTTGGTGATCCATATTCAGATCAAGCTAGTGGGTGGAATGTCATGGTGATCTTATATCTGACAAGATCTAAATCAGGCATCTGGGTGGATATTATGATCTCTTCAATTAGGATTTATCGTTTCCCATATAAGTCTGAGACTTAATTGAACTATCATCAAAAAATGCATCAGTTACAGCTAAAAGTAGATTATGGTGGTGTCTAGAAACCTATTGTGGGTGTGAAGAACATCGATTTGGTCACAATACACAAGAAACCTACTCGATTTATTCACATTGCATCAGAGCACAGAGCAAGTAAATCGAACACTCATGGTTGTTCCTAAGCTGTTTCTAACTGTATGATGCATGTTAATTATAACAAAATATTGAAAGGAAAATTACCGCTCTATTGATTTGTTTCCTGGCCTACCTTGTTGTTGAAACTAAGAAGTATAGCAAGAATCTTATCAACGTTCAACTAAATTTGCATTGTTTCTGTATCATGTGCTACTCATGCTTTTGAGCTACATCAAATCTATACTAACAAAAGTTCAGTGTTTTTCAACATGCATGTATTGAGCCCCAGTAGAGTAGCACTTACTAGGTGTACAGTTGGAAATTTCAAGCCCTCGTTTGATGCGCAGGTGTTTGGTGACCACAATAACATTTCATGGCGAAATAAATTAAGAAAATGAGAGATGTCAGTTCATAGTAAGTCTTAATCTGACTCTTGTTAGCCCAACATGCCGCATATGTAGAATGGAGACCAAGAACTCTATTAAGGTGATACTATAGAAGATAGAAGTGTTGTAACGAAGTGATTCCGTACACTGACGATTCACTCAACTTATTTCAAGATTAAGGTCTTGAGTTTGCTCTTGATTCTGGGAGGGTCCGTCTCTCTCTGTTCACGGACCTCACTACTTCCCTCTTGTGGTTTTCAGAAACTTTTGACGCACAGGTGGCAGAAGAGGGAATTTGTTGTACTTCGAATGAGAAAGGGATGGTTTACTTTGAGCAAAAAGAACTGGAACGTACTTTACATAGCTGCGCAATCAGCTTTCACTGATTGCACAGCTACCATTGTTATAAATTGTAATAAGTGTCGTGCTCAAACGTGAACCTGACCAGCTGATTATAAGTGCGTTCAGGCTAGCTTGATGGTCCTAACGGTTCAGAGGTCAACGAAGTACAAACTCAGTCTCTTGGTACGAACTCTCAGTTTCAGTCTAAAGTCAATACCTGGCAATTCCGTTGAAGTTCATATTCTATCAAGTTCGATTCATAAAGAATGCATTGCTTTGAATGCCGTGCTTCTTTGCTAGTTTGGTCTTGTGTTTCAATATGAAATCTGCGATAGAGTGGGTAGGCTAAATCGTCGATTATAATATTACTATGAACCAAGTAATACAGTCTTGGCATATACCGCAGTCATGGTCTGACCCATCAACGGCAGTTAATGTGGCAAGCTTGTTTATAGACAAAGATTTTACTAATGAAAGTCGATATGTGATGTACCATGTAGGTCTCATCTGATTCTATTTACCTTCCTATTCAAGAGATAGTCCGAAAATGACAAACCTAGCAGACTGACTTTGATTCACTCCAACTTAACGTGGTAAGCTTGAAGGTGGTTTTATCCACCGTCCAGCAGTAAACTATTGTTGTCTGCAGATTTTGACCATTCTTCGCAGCCTTCTTGGACAACAAGTTACTCCTTCTCATCTAATTGAAGTAATTCCTATCTTCTCTTGTTGCAATTTTGGAAGTTCTGCAAAAACTTAAAACATGTATAGGTACAACTTACCTAGAAATATCGTTCTTAGTTGAACTTGACCGAAGAAATCAATTGCAGAGGATCAAGCTGGGTAGGCCTCGTCGACGACTTAGTAAGCACTTCCTCATACAGTCAGAATCAATACATATGCTCACAAAGTTGTGTGTCGGGAGTTGTGTGTGTGAAATCGGGAGTGAGGATGAGCTGCAATTAGAGAGTATCTACACTTAGCATTGAAATTTGTCCTAGAAGCAACACCAATCTTGCACTTGTTGAGCGTTATCTGCATACTTGAGTAGCATGCAGAAGTAGATACAACAATGTTAATTTTGGACTGTCAATTTGGTCGCTGAATATGATCACATTGAGTTCATTAGACTTACACTTGAGATCGATCGGCACGGCTTGGCCATAGATCGGTGGAAACATTTTCGGAGGCGTAGGGTTTGTCGGTATTACACCTCTGCTCTCAGCATTGGGCGTGCAGTAGAATATGCTAATACCATAAGGAAACGATCAAGCACACGTAGCACGCGAGTACAGTCACAAAGTCAAGCAATTTCCTTGTACTGCTGTACACGGTGTTGGCTTCAATTGATCGTCCCTGAAGAAGAGTAGTTGAAACTTTTTGCACCAAAAGATCAGAGGACCCATACCACATTACTGCCATGTCGTCTATCGTAGAAAAACGTGATGCATGGATGTTGCCATCACTTTTTCAATAATAAGACTGACACACCTGATCGCAGAAAGTCTCCTCACGCAACCGAATGAGGTCGCATCCGCCGAACGTGAGTCTCGTTTCTCTCCTGCTCCTACACTAGAGTAGTTCTGGAGCAGTTGGGCATCAACTTTTCCCTGCATCCTCAGCATCTATCTCCACTTCTTTGAGTTAGGATCTTTAGAACTCGACAACATACCTCTTTTTGGGTCCATGTCTGTCTCTGTTTCCACGGAACTCAATCCACCTGTACGCTTAATGTCGTGATTCAGTCTTTTGAATTGAGAGTGGCTTCTTTAGACAGAATCAGCTTGGAAGCTGCTCATATTGAAGGATTTAGCCACCTGTCCCGATGTTCACCCTATTTTCAGAAGCAGAGGCCATTCCTTTGAATAAAATTTGTCCTTCCGCCTATTCAACACTCTCAAGAGTGCCCTTGCAGTAGATCTACTGCGAATCTCCCTTATAAACGTGTTGTTCACCGCAAATCACACGAGCCATCATGCCTGGATGATAAGATGTGCGCATGATCACTGCAGTCTGAATTGTGACTGCTGAGATGTAGACTTGAAAGAAAATCTTCATGTCGGAGCAGCACAAAATGTGACTCGTAAATTGGTGAGCACGCATATGTGCCTCCTCAGATCCGATAACGCTTGGCAGCAGCAGATTTGAATACCTCTAAATGAGATCCAGTCCCCTCACAAATGAAATGGTGGACATGACATTGGGTGTACGCATCGGATTAAGCTGACAGGACTCACAGAGACCTTTACGACCCCGAGTCATACCGTCAACCTCGGCAATATTTGTCACCCCGAAAGGTTAACAATTTCACTGACTTCATGGCGTCTGAGTCCCAGAGGGCAAGTGACCTGGGAGTTACGCATACATCGATAAAATTGAGCTCGCCATCTTCATCCACGTGAGCAAATTTTTAGCCAGAGAGTATTAATATACCCGGACTTAGAAAGTGTATGTACATGTGGCCCGTAGAGGGCACGCTTTCAACGTTCAAAGTCTATGTTCACATCAACATTCATAACCAGGCCCTGAAGTTCGTCACAATTGGTCTCATTTGGTTCGAGTGAGGCAGCAATTCCAATTCGGTGTTGAAAATTTGATATTTGCGACCTCGTTGAGTCGGTGGGCACGCTTTCTGGTAGATGACTTTATAATGATTAAAGAAATATGACCGAACGTTGAAAGAGGGGGAATTTCAATAGCCAAGCATTGGCCACTACATGCTTCTGATACAGCTGAATGACGGAAGCAACGGTCTCCACTTTGCACATCAGCATCTCCTTAGAACTTCGATACCACTGTCAGAGAATAGAACACGTGCAACTGACGTTTCTGACATCATTCTAGCTTTCGCGACAACATCATTGGATCATCACGAAGACTTGAAAGATGCCAGTAAGACATGATTTGACGATGAAATCAATGTAAACTGGTCAACATTACATACATACTAGTAAGACATAAGTAAGCATAGTTTAAGACGTTGGGTTTTCTTCGTTTATTACAGAGAAGTTGTTGGCCGATGTTAAGCGGGTCATCCTCATCATTTAAGCTCCGTCAAATTCAAAAGCAGAAATGAAGGGCTCAGAAAGTCCAGAAAGCTCGAAAGTGTAGATTCAGTAGCTTCTGTGCTGTTTGGCCATAATCAGTAGTTTTAGTTCAAATAAGTACTTCTTTGTTGGAGCTAGAGATAATTTCATCTCTTATACTTAGGTTTAACTTCAGAAGAGTAATTGAAGGTCATTGCAGTAAGACAGGACCATAAATATGAGTTGTCTTGTCCCTAGAGCCTGATACAGTACGGGCAGTTAAATTTCTTCGGAAATGACTACATGGAACCACTGATCAAGATTTTTTCTCATTGAACTCTGCCAACCGTGTTGAAATCGTGAATTACGCTCCATGCTCGTTGGGAGGAATCTAATTCTTCCTGAAACCTGGCCCAGATCTTATTTGGGAATTCCAACCCGCAACCGCTGCGCGAATAACGAAAAGATGTATACATTGCAGCTAATTAAATTTCACGTGCCATTAAAACTCAGTTCCAAAATATAAGTACCGTTATGTGAACTCGACAGTAAATTTCACATCCACACCAGTAAGTTAGGAGCAATGGCATATCAAGGCAAGGTAAAACTGTTGCACTTCTGAAGCTTTTTAACCTGCTTGAATGCCAGAGATAGTAGAAGTATTTCTCGCTGTAGATTCTTGATTATCGGAAATGAGCTACAACTTGTGTATGATTTACTAGGCACACTTCTCCAAGGCTCGACTGCAGGCAACCTGAGTTCCCTACAGACCACGCATGTACACGATTTATCATGTACATATTTAAGATGATCATTGTTACACTGATTACATGGACCGTCATATTTGAGATCTAATGCAATGCGGTGAGCTTATAGAATCTTGAACTTGAAACATAGTATCGAAGTTGGAATATACTGTAAAATATGATTGAACTCAGTTATTTAGTAAAGTATTAGTTGTCTGTGTCTTGTTACGCTGTGTGTCAAGTTTATAATTTGCGTCAAACAAAGACAGACAGTTGAATCTAGAACGATCTAATGAAGTAGATTCGGAATACAGATATACTAAACCAGACGATGGAATAGTCACATACGGAGCGGATAAACTCAGCAGATGATGGGACAGTCACATTCTGCAATTTATATAAGTCTTCAATCCTTGTATACTGATCACTTGTTGTAACTGCAAGATAGAGTCTTGGGTCCATGGCTGCGGACGAAGCAAGGGATCAACAGTTCCTAGTTCCTAGTGTGTAAGGTGGTTTGTGTTAGGAGAGAGGGTCTTCAGCTTTCATTAAAATTTGACGCTCAACAAAGCGTGCGTGTTTGTTTTAGCTGTGGTTACTTGTCTGTTTCTAGACGTGCGAAAGTTTCTGCTGACTGGAACTTAAAATAATAGTTAATCTCACATCCAGTTTTGAACCATACGAGTATGAGCGCTTGGGTTGAGAGGTTGAAGTTCGTCGTTTTTCAAGGCACTCTACAGATTCATCACGCATGTCGTCATGATCTTGGCCAGTCTACTAGAAGAAGCTACTGTACCGGTTCAATGGAAAATGCGTAGGTCTAGAATGTGGATGCCGTCATCAACAGATGTATAGACTACACGTCAAGCTACCTTTTAGAGCGGGTGAAACAAGGATATACGTACCCGTGTTTTCTCTATATTTGAGCTCGCTGCGATTGACTCTACGTAAATGCAGGTGGCCTTGCGGTTTGTAGTTCAAAGTATATACCATGAATCTAGCCACTGAGATTGTAAAGTACTTTTATGGGTGGCGGCAACTCCCATATGTGGTGCTCAATTTCTGACCTCTACTCGTCTAAGCCAAGAAGATCAAGGACAGTTCTTATAAAGTGAAAGCGTACATCAAAAGACCACGCAGAATAAAGTACGTGACGACTCATACACTCCCACATCAAAAGTAAAAGCTCTTGATCATGACGGCGATGAAGATATGACTTGAGCTCATCACTGCACAGAACCTCCGCCGATCAGCCTGATCCTCTTACGACTTCGGGCAGTTCTTTCCGGAAGGGGAAAACATAACTTCAAAAGTGTCGCGTCTCACATTACGTCATTTCATGCATATCACCCCCTTCTCTTGATCAAGAGCTTCTAACTATATTTTAGTTTGCTTCCTTCATTCTGTTCATGCCCCGCGCTATCTTTATTATCTTATCAAAACTGTACGTTCGCCAAGTACCACGACCATGTTATTTAGTACACAAAGTTGTGCTACACACTAAAGTTCTCTTGTGCGTTAACGCAGAGTGTGTGTGTACAATAATTAAGCGTTTGAATCGTTTGAAGCTATCAGACTCGAGATAACGAAGGAAAACCTCGAGCGGCGTAAAGCTCCATGGTTGGACATGTCATGGTGCCATGGCATGTTTTTATCAATCCTTCGACCGTTCATGAGCAATTAGCCGCTCTCATATCTGTTGGCAGGTCTACTTCTTGTTATACTGTTATATAATGCATCAAATTCGTCGAGGCATATACATAGAAGAGGCTGATAAACAACAGATTTTTAAAAAAAATGGAGATTCTAGTTTGATTCTACCTAAAACATCGTTACATCTGGCAAAATAGTGTCTCCCTCTGTCGGTACGGAGGGACATAACTTCTGAACGTCGTGACTGTACAAAAAACCTGAAATGTGTAGTCTAATGGTTTTCCACACTCTGTGCATTCATCACATCGGTTCTGTTGAATTTATTCAAAACTCGATCATAATCACTGCGGTCATTCTTCGCAAAGACAATGCATTGGTCAAGATTCGGTCGGTCTCAATGCATTTCACACGTCACGAAGATTTTCGTCAGCTCCTATTATATACAGTGTAAGGATCGACAACGTACAGCACTTAGCTTCAAAGCACACATGCAGGTATTATCTTCTGCTGTGCTCACCTGCTACAGATGATCGTTTATTACGCAGATTGTTATCAACATAATTTTAAGTTTGAAAAGCTAATTAGAAAAACAGCACGGGCAAAAGATACCCCAAGATCTCAAATGCCCAAATCAAAGTTTAGCAGCCTTGTCATGAGATCCAGGATTTGAGAATCAAAGTGCAGAGGCACATAAAAAACAATCGCCTTTTCGTGTTATAGAACCTCCATGTCTGCCTACTCGACATATAGATTTGAATTCTGCTATGATCACAGCATAATATTTTGAACCAAGATCTCATGCGTCTCTCCTGGAGTATCTCAGGCCCATGTACATATCACATCGCCCAAGCGCTGTTCAAATATTTAATTACGAGAACACTCTTTTGAAGTGAGCTTAATAAAGAACGACTATTCCAGCTCTTCGGCAGTGCTAAGCCCCATAATTGTCGGTTTCTGCCCGTTGGCATACTTTATGCTAGTGGATATCAGGGGTTCATATGAAATATGTAATGCAATTCAAGAGAATGAGAATATAGCCTACATAAATTTTATATTGATGGCGAGAATGAGTCATCTCTTTTGGGCTCACTGCTATCACTCTGACGGTCTAAGTAGGCAAAGTCTCTGATCAAATCCTTCAATTCGATCCATTCCGAACTCACTTCACCAGGACTCTGATTTGACACAGTGACACACTGGTGACACAGTGAGGTTTCTCTCGATGAGTATGTCGCGCAAGCTGGCTTTTTCATCAAAATAATACAATAATTTTCTTTAAATTGATTGAATTGAGATATGATCCTACAAGATTTCTAGGATAACATCAATATATTAATAGATTGATGATTTGAATATGTTCCAAATTTCGATTATTGTACTTTCGAAATATTCCATGAATAAAATACATGCTTTTGAAACAACCCAATATCTTGCAGATTCCAAATGTCACAGTTTCAAGATATCTAAATAAAACTACGTAAAATAAAAAACTGGAATGAAGAAAAATCATGCTAAGTGATCCACTACTGAATGTGTTGCTACACAACATCTTGGACATGAATGTCAAGCTAGAGCAGCGGAGCATTCTAAGTTTATTACCCAGTTGAAGGCTAGGTATAATGGTGAGAAATAACTTGATCATACAAGAAAAATTAAAATTCATTTAACAATAGTTGAGAAAACAAAGCTTAAAAAACACCTAGACAATTTCTCAAAGTCACCCTACTCGAGTTTGAACAGCAGTAGCATTTAAATTTAGTTTCTGATCTATGTTGGAATAACTTGTTTACCATATACAATATGCTAAACTTTAGAGATTGAAACAGATACAATCATGAATAAATTTGACAGATTCTAGTCAAACTTGAACCAAAATTAACACAGAAGTGAACTGCAATTGATGAGATAAAATGACAGATATGCAAACTACAATTCTTAAAATTTTGCAAAAGCAAAAATTAATCATCAACAGATGTGATTGACTAAAAGTTGACAATCTTGATTGAAAATAATACATAAAAATAAATGTCTTTAAAATGTGATTTTCATAAGTACATATGTAGATTAAGATTACATTATATTTTATATTTACAAATGCTTGGTTTTTAAATCACAAATAAATTCAAATGGATTTTTTAAAAAAAAAATTTAACTCACCCCAAGTTGTCAAATTCATCCTCTGTCGCTGTAAACGTTCGTCAATTGTAAGCTATTTGAAAAAGTTGTAGATTCCACCACGGTAGTTCCTGAGAATAGTACCCCTTTTATTTCAATCGGGATCCTCTTTAGAGATTGCGTAGTCTTGGCACTTGCACACTTTTCAACATCTCTTTAAATGTGTCAGAAGATGTTTATGGAGACGCTTGTATGTTGTATTATCAAAAAAATTTTGTGTAGGCTACACTAAATAGCAATGCTGGCTCTGAGATAGCCAAATCTGTCCTTGAAGATGTTCTTGATTAAATTTTAAAACAAAAAGATGCAATACAACGGTACAACACCGAAACAACTGTTGCAACTGAAGATGAATTAAATCATCACTTAAAAAAAATTAGAAATATTTGTTTTAATTTTGTTGATCCAATTACAGTTTATAAAAGTAATCATTTACAAACATTTTTCAATTTTTTTTAAAAATTGTTTTCTATTCATACTAATAAATTGAAATCAAGTAGATTGATTAATCATTTCATCAAGAAATCTTGTTGTTGCATTATTTCCTTGTATTGGATTTTGATATTGCTCAATATATTTGAAGATTTATGTTTATTCAGTGAATATGACTAACATTTCAAATTTATTTCTTGTTTTCAAATTATAAAAAATCAATAATAGATTTTTACATATGTCCAATCAAATTCATATATAGATCGATAGTTTATGTTAAGCGGAAATTTTATCATAATTTAGAAAAACTTTGTTCATTAAAATTGAGAAGGTGTTTAAAATACGATAAAAGAAATCATAAGATCATAAAATGTATAGCCGAGAGGGATTATTGCAAATAAAATAACTTTGTAACTCGTTTACCTCTAGTTTAACTCTTAATACCTCTAGTTCCATAAGTGCATTAATTGTAGATGCAATCAAAAAGTTGTCCATGGTTTGGTTGGTCAGATGAAATTTAGGTCACTTACATTGTCAAATCCAAATCCAAAGTCCTTAAGGACAGAATGAGAATGCAATTAGAAAGAAGTTTATATGAAGTCTAACTGTCTGAGAGACATTTCATCAATGTTTTTGTGTTGAATCAGAAGGCTCCTAGGCATCAAGTTGTGTTCTTTGACTCTCAGATATAGAAAACTGAAGTACTTTCCCACTCAAAGGATCTTTGTATCTTGGACCTAGCAGCGTGAAAGAACAGAGGCAGCAAACTAAGATTTTGAATAGAATTGCAAGCTTTATATAATCTCTCAACAAACTGTGAATATGAATCCGATTACCACAGAATAGCTTCAAATCTGAAATCAGAATCACGAGACGTAAACGGTTTTCGATGACACCGATTGTCATGAACGGTTTACTGTTGTCTTCAACGTCTGCAGTGGAACACAAAGGTCTAGACTAGTGCAAGACTCCTGAAACTCTGGAGCTTCACAAAGTCTTCTCTTCAAAGATGGTGAAGGACGTGAATAAGCATCTCGGGTTGTTTTTCCAGAATCAAGCGATTACGACTGGGCTGGGGCTATGCAATACAAGCAAGAACCTGGGGGTTAATACCTCTTCGCACATTCGTTTCACTTTTCCCGATCTAGGTATTGCTGATCATGGACCTACTTCTTCGTCTAAGTACTAGTAGAGATTTCATAATGGTGCACAATTTTACGTGGACCTTTGATCTATATTC